CACACAGCGAATATGGAATCTCCGGCTGAAATAAATGCTGTCCAGCACCTGGGAGGAGGAAGGAAAGAAGAGAGAAAGGAGGAAGATGAAGAATGCTGAGTGGGTCTGAACACCAGAGTCACGCAATAGCCTTCATGATTGTTTCCTGTTATGATTATCATATATTGCCTTTCTGTTTGCTGACGTTTAAGCAAAGTCAGCCACCCTCACTAGCTTCCTAGTTGTTCCGCTGTTCCCAGTCAGCCACCCTCACTAGCTTCCTAGTTGTTCCGCTGTTCCCAGTCAGCCACCCTCACTAGCTTCCTAGTTGTTCCGCTGTTCCCAGTCAGCCACCCTCACTAGCTTCCTAGTTGTTCCGCTGTTCCCAGTCAGCCACCCTCACTAGCTTCCTAGTTGTTCCGCTGTTCCCAGTCAGCCACCCTCACTAGCTTCCTAGTTGTTCCGCTGTTCCCAGTCAGCCACCCTCACTAGCTTCCTAGTTGTTCCGCTGTTCCCATAACACAAGCAGCCAAAAACCAGAAATCAAACTTCATCCATTAGCAGCTTTTTACTTCAGATAAGATGGAACTGTAAAGAAAGTACAATGTTTTATTTAAATCAAACTAAAGCCTTGCTTTACAGTGGGCTCAGGAATATATATTTAAATGGAAACACTTCCTTTTTCCATTTTGACGGCTTCCATTTTCTCTTCTTACTCTCCAATGCTTCATTCTCTCTCCCCCAGGCAACAGGCTGCAGGAAAGAGATGGCTGAGATATGACCTGATTTCTTGCGGATGACTTTCGAGAAGAGGCTGAGGCTGTAAGACCCAAAGATCTGAGGCCTTGATAATACATGGTCCTGACTAATTTGCCAGGCTCCCTTGGATTTGGCAGTGGAACTGCACACCTGAAATGGCAGGTGAATCCACTTCTTCCTTGCAGGCCCACAACGCTTAAAGCATTAAAGATATATGTGGTCCAGCAGCTGTATAAGGAAAATGACCCTCCACCCTCAGGGATGGGACCATTGTTTGGATATTCCAATATAAATAAATAAAGTAAGAACTTATGGAGGATAGTAAACTAATTGTGTTTCTACAAAGAGCAAGTTGGTTAATACAATGGTCTCCTTGCAGACCTGGAAAGACTTGCTATTTTTTTCATATAACCCTGTAATTGGGCATAGAAAATTTGAAGTGTGCAAAAAGGCAGATCCTGCCCAGGACAGGTTACAGGATAAAATTCAACACAAGGGAAACAACAGAAGAGGGAAGTGGCGAAAACAGAAGCCCAGGAAGGAAGTGGCAAATCAAGTGCTGGAGGGTGATGAGGAGTAGCAAAACTGACAAAGAATTTGCAATTATTTAAATTATGTGCCCTTAGGATTACTGATTAGAAAGGGAATGAGTTGAAGTTGCTACCAGGGAGAATGCAGAATTTCATTTCTCAATGTTTAGCTACTCTCTGACATTCTAGTTTGCCATACAGTTCATAATTTATTTAAGAGACAGCATTTAAACATGCAGAATATCACCATCACCTGTATTCTAAAGGGGTTCAGCCCAGCAAAACCCACCACCCCCCGACCCCGATTCTGCTGATGGTGTGGCTCAGCTCGATTCTCTAGACATACCATGTGATTGACGCTGGTGAATGGGGTATTGTCAGTAATGGTTTCAAAAGGGGATCTGGCTCCATTTCCATCAGTGGGGGTAGCCACTTCCCAGCTGAACTGTATGGACGACTGGTTGATCCCAGCCTCACTGCAGCGCTCCTTCATAACGGAGTACTTGGGGAAGTGAGAATCGCAAGGGGTAACACAGACCAGAGGGTAGCCTGGAGATGGTGACTTCTTAGCACCTGTTTTGGTTTCCTCTTCAACGTGGTCATACTCCGACAGCGTAACCACCTGCAGGGACACAGAATGAAAGCTAGAATTCTATAAAAGAGTCTTACCACTACTTCTTCTCCATGTAAAACGTGATCATCTTTTCTAGGATGATTCAAGGTTGCATCGCTTAAATAAAGGCATCACAGCATGAGAACCTGAGAAGTTTTTATGCTGAGAACCTGAGAACGCAACAGCCAGCCAGGTGTATTTGGGACACTCACAAGCCTGGACTGGAGGGCAAGAAGTCCTTGACCACTGTCACTTCCCAGCAAACAATTTTCCAGACATGCTTCCTATGATTCAGGAGGCATAAACCATCATCAATGTTAATAGCTATTGATAGCCTGATCCTCCTTCAGTCCATCCAGTCCTTTTTAAAGCCACACGTATTGTCTGCCATTACTACCACTACTAGCGCTGAATTCCACATTGTAATTAGCCATTATGTGAAAGAGTATTTCCTTTTGTTGATCCTGAATCTCCCTGCATTTAGTTTCAGTGGACCTTGAGTTTTAACTGTGTGAGAGAAAAAGACTTTTCTCTCTCCGCATTACCTCTGCCATGCAAGATTTTATATGCTTCTATCATGCCTCATCTCACTTTCCTTCATTTCAAGCTAAAAGCCCCAGTTGCTGCAGTCTTTTTCACAGGGGACATAGTTGCACTATTTTTTGCACCATTTCTTGCTCTATAACATTTATCCTTCTTATGATACAATGACAAGAACCATACACAATACTCTGGGTGTAATCTCACTATACATTTGTACAAGCATATTAGCATTTCTATTTTCATTTCCCTTCCTAATGATCCCAGGCACATAATTTGCTTTTTTTCTTTTTTTTTACAGCAGCTGCACACTGGGTTGATATTGTCATTGAGATCTCCACCATGACTCCAAGATTCCTTTCCTGATCAGAAGAGACCTTAAAAGAATCGCTAGAGTCTACAAGGATTTTGGTAGGAAGGTGTGGTTTTATTCTATTTTTACTGTATTTTATATTGTTTTTATTGTATTTTAATTAATATTTATTGTTGTTTTATTGTGAACCTCCCAGAGTTACTTTTTCGTGAGATGGGCAGTATCTAAATTTGAAAATAATTAAATAAATAAATAAATAAAGGTGAAGGAACTGGAAGCACAGGTATTTTTTTCATCAATCTTTCCAGTTTGAGGGTCATAGAGCAAGAAGAGAGACCAGGATCCTGGAAGTCAGCAACAGTGTCATTGAGAAGGGTTTTGGATTCTATAACAATGGTCTATGCTACCTTCATGAAGGACTCCAGGGAAGTGACATGACTTTCATGAATACTGGGAAGGAAATTTTGGCAGACGCCTTGCCAATCTCATTGGGAGGGTGGTAAAAGTTCAGAACCAGTTATGCAGCCGAGGACTGGGGTTGAGAAAGCCAAACACAAAGGGAGAAGCAGGAGGACAGGGTGGGCATTAAAAGTTCCAAAGGAAATTGCTACAACAAGGCCAGTAGGTAGTGCCACTCAAACTCTCAAATGTTTCTAAACCAATCCACAGAGATGGGCAATAAATAGGGAGAACTAGAGATCCTCACTTAAGAAGGCAACTATAATGCGATAGGCGTCACCAAAGCTCATGACTGACACTTAGCACTGAAAAGGTGCAAGCTATTCCAAAGGAAGGATGGAGATAATGGAGTGTTACCAATAGAAGAGAATATATGTAGCTCAGGGTTGAACTGTGGAGTTCTTGGGGTTCTCTGAGCTTGGTTGTTTTCTTGCTGACATTCCACTACCCGGCTAGGTAACATCTAGCTCATGACTGACACTTAGCACTGAAAAGGTGCAAGCTATTCCAAAGGAAGGATGGAGATAATGGAGTGTTACCAATAGAAGAGAATATATGTAGCTCAGGGTTGAACTGTGGAGTTCTTGGGGTTCTCTGAGCTTGGTTGTTTTCTTGCTGACATTCCACTACCCGGCTAGGTAACATCTTCAGGGCTAGAATGGAGTGGGGTTTGCTCTCTGTTTATATACTGTGGCATGCCCTGCCAGTGTTGGTGGGGGTGTGTTCCTTTTCCTCTCTCTCTTTTTCTTCTCTTCAAGTCAGCCATCAACAGGCACATAGAGATAAACAACATCTACACACTATTCAAAAGAGACAATAAAAAGGAAAGACCAGAATATCTCCTTGCCAGCAATCACCCAGATAAACAGAGATTAACCCCAAGATTAACACTAGACAATCAAGCAGTAAACAATACCCTAATCAGTGGGGGAGCGAACTACCCCCACCAACACTGGCAGGGCGAACTATTGTATATAAACAGAGAGCAAGCCCCACTCCATTCTAGCACTGAAGATGTTACCTAGCCGGGTAACGAAATGCTTGCAAGAAAACAACCAATTCAGAGAACCCCAAGGACTCCTAAATAATGGATTGTGTGAAAACAGAACATATACTTGCACAGAAATTCAGTAATCAGAGCATGGAAACTGGGTTGAAAGCAGTTGGGTAAGAAAAACATGAAAGCAAGTTTATCCTAGGGTGCCTGATCAGTCAGCAGATACAGACGAGACCCTTCTGTGCCAGATGACTGGTCTTTCAAACAGGCGTGTGATGGTGACAGTGAGAGATTTCAATTATCCTGACCTCCACTGGGAATCTAATTCTTCCAAGAGTCAGTGGTCCAGCAAATCCCTGTTCTCTCTTACTAACAACTTCTTTTATCAGAACAAGGAGGACTGCTATTGTCAAACTCATCCTCATCAGTTGGGGAGGCACTGGTTGAAGAAGTGAAGGTGACTGGCAGTCTAGGGAAGAGCAATCATATTATCCTTGGCAGACGTCCTGGTTTGGCAGCAGTAATTGTGAAAGGGATCAGGGTGTCCTTGCCAACCACAAGTTAACCACAAGTCAACAATGTAACTACTGTCTTGGAACGCATTACCAGGAGCACAGGGGCCAGATCATGGCAAGCGACTGTTTTATTTAACTCTGCTCTAGTCAGTCCCATGCTAAAATGCAGCAAATGGCCCCAGCAGTAGGCCTTTTCAGTGGTGGTCCCCTGATTTAGGAGTGCCATCCCAACTAAGGTACGCCCAGTGCTATCTTCATTGACTTTTCTGTACCAGATAAACTTTCATTTATGCCAGATCTTTTAACAATTTGTTAACCCTGCTGTGCTCTTTCTATATGTCCATTGTTGTTTTTACTCCCTCTGTTGTTGCTTTGCTGTATATTTTGTTTATTTTATTTTGCATATTTTATACAATGTACTCGTGTATGCTTTTATCAGCTCTTTTAACCTTCCCTTTGAATTGTTTGAATGTTGTTGTAAACTGCTTTGAATATTTAATTTTTTTAAAAGAAAAAAAACTCTAGTCTTTGGAGTGCTCTGGGGACCATAGTTTAAAAGGGCAGTGACAAACTGGAAAAAGTTCAGAGGAGGTCTACTAAAATAGCTAAGAGTCCAGAAACCAACCCTTAAAAAGAACAGTTAAAGGACTGGGGTATGTTTACCTTACAGAAGAGATGACCAAGGGAAAATTTACGGCAGTCTTCAGTTATATAAAAATTGTCACACACAAGAGGTAAATAGATCTATTCTCTATTACACTAGAGGGCAGGACAAGAACCAATGGGTTAAAACTACACGTAAGTCAATTTAGGCTCGAGGAGTAACTTCCTAGCTATGAAGTATCAGCCAGTGGAACAGTCTATCACAAGAAGTGTGACTTGTTCTTTGCTGGTGATCTTCTAACAGAAGTTACCTGATCATCTGCCAAAGATACTTTAGGGGATATTGCACTGAGCAAGGGGGTAGAATTGGTGACGTCTATGTATGGTACACTTCCAATTCTATGATTCTATGAACTACCAGTTCAGATCCCATTAGTATCAGTCCAGCAGAATCTGGATGGGAACATTCCTATTGTCTATTAAAGCATTTGTTTTCTTTTTCTGGCTTTGGGTAGGTTTTGTTTCTTTCTTTGTTTAGCCAGCTTCTTAGTAGGAAATCATTCAGACAAACTTGGTGAAAAAGCCACTTGGAGAATGGTAGGCACTGATACACAAAGAAAAACAGAAAAGGTGCTTGAGAAATGCCTAAATCCCAAACAGATTTGGGATGAAATTCTTTGTCAAGGACACTAATAAGCTTTTCAGTTTAATCAGCTCATTAATCCTATTAATTAGTTCTCTTTAGAGTGTAGAACTAATCAGTCCTCTAGGGTCACTTTGAAGTCCACCTCTGGTCTGGAGATCAGCAACTAATACCCCAAGGCTAAATCCAGCCCACTAAGGAACGCCAGTTACTGAAGAGACAAGAGATGCATATGGAGGAAATGATGATTATGGCAATGGGGCTCAGTGACAGTCCATTATTAAATCTGGCCTATAACCTCCATCCAAACCCAACCATTCACTGAAAGTGGTGACTGAGCATGGATACATTGGTAGAGGCTTTGTTATAGCCAGAGGCAACAGAGATTTAGGTCACTCCATTAAAAAGGCACATAAGAATCAACCTTTCTTTCCACTTCAGGTCAGACTTCCACAATACTGTTTTTATATCTCTATGGATGCTTCAGAATGTGGAATGGACCACAGGCTTTCCACAGAAAAGTAATTCATACAATTCAGTTCATACATTTTAGCTTGCATCAGTACAGGCAGAAGAACGACAGTACAGAGCCTTGAGAGACTCCACCACTTAAGGGGGGTGGGGTGGGCTATGCAGATGTTGAGGAACTACAATTCCCAGCACTCCAACCATGCTGTCTGGCACTTCAGGAGAATTATGGTTCAATAATATCTGAAAGCCACATATTCTCGCTCCTGATTTAAGGTTTTAGAGCAGATGAATTTGGATAATTCTAAATTACCTCTATGTAAAACAAATAGAATCAAACTACCCAGCATAAGGGCAAACTCCTAGTTACCAGCCCATTCCCTGCTCTAGTGGTTTCCCTTGCTCTAGAGATTTTCTTGATTTACAGAACAAAAATTATGCCAACACCTCACAAACTGCTGGCTGAAACCCTCTTTATCCCCTGCATGCATATACCAGAGAGAGAGAGGGAGAGAGGGAGCG